ATTTTTTCTCATTATTTTAACATCAATGAAAAGACAAATTAAATAGATAATTAACTCCAAGTAAATCAATTTATTTTACAATTTTATTTTTTTATACGTTTCATACATAAGTGTTTCTGWACAAAAGAAGAACAAATTATTTTAATTTTAGATTGCAGTTAGTACTTAGAATATTTAATTTTTATAACAGTCACTTAAATATATTGGGAAATCTTAAAAGTTATGAAATAGTTAGGTATATTAAATATTTACTTAAATACCACTATTCTATACCAAGCTGAGTGAATGTGGATCAATGACTGATACCAGTTTTCTGTATTCTTTCAATTCTAATTTTTGAATTAAATTTCTGTACTTCAATTTTTATTTAGATTTGGTATAGAGTTATAATGAAATCGTAAAATATTAGTTACAGTTTTATTTTATCTGTATTTTTCAATTTAATAATTGCAAGTCTAATTGCTTGGTAAGGTGCTACTACAGAACTGTTTGTGCTTATCTTTAATTTTTACTTTCTGTACATTTAATTTTTCTATTTGCATTTAAGGTTAGGTTAGTAAAGTGGTATTTTCCACTATATTCTGTCATATTTTTTTTAGCACTTAAAAATGTTTGTGTTGAGTTTATTTTACTTTGAAAAAATTATTAACAATTATTATAAGTTACTAACAATTTCTAATTTTTATTATAGGTGTCTTTAATGTTTATTGATGAACATGAAACAACTTCAAATTCTCTATCTTTATATTGGGCAACACCAAAAAATTTAAGTTTGGAATATTTACCTTCCATCAGTGAATCCCGTATGCCAGAAACATGTGTTAATAAGACATGGGTGTCTACTACTAATTATAAGTTTACATCACTTAAGCCATACACTGCATATAATATGACAGTATTTGTCCGTCAAAAGGATGTACCTGATATTATATATCCACCTGCTTTTTTCATACTAGCATCAACTGCTGAAGGGGGTATGTTAAATGTAACTGTTTTAAGCATAATTATGTAATAATAAAAAAATATTTTTTTTTTATTTGATTCTATAGTTCCAAGTGCTCCTCTAAATGTAATAGTTAAACAAGTAACTGCTGAAGAAGTTTTGGTAACCTGGACTAGACCAGAAAATCCAGCTGGTCGAATTTCGTCTTACAATGTTTATGTTGAGCCACCTCATCCACCTATGGTTTTGTCTGTTGAAGCTGATTATAATAATGTTACACAATCTTACCCTGTCCGATCATCATTATATCGTTTAAATATTGAATATAGTTTTTGGGTAGGTTCATTTAATTTTTTTATTATAAAGTATTTTATATATTTTGGCTATAATTCTAATTTTTTTTTCAATTAATTAAAATAAGTAAACTAAAAATCTAATTTAATTAGTATAATATAACTTTAACAACTGGCATATAAAATAAATACATTTTGGCTTCTAGCCACTAACTAGGACATTCTCTTTTTGCTTAATATACAGGGTGATTTTTTAAGCATGCTCGCCCCATTTTTATGCTTAAATTATGCATATATTCAAATTTTGATTTTTGGAATATTTAAGTGTAATTAAAG